TTCACGAGAGAAAGGGAATGGAGAAGGCGCGCGCGCGCGCGCGCGCGAGAGAGAGAGAGAGAGAGAGAGAGAGAGAGAGAGAGAGAGAGAGAGAGAGAGAGAGAGAGACAAAGATTATCGTCCATCCGCAAAAAGATCGTTATCCGGCGACCGCGGGATAAATAAATGATACGTCGAGAAAATAGAAAACTCTTTTGTAAAAATCGCAGTAAGAATAACATCGACGTATCTCAGAAGCGTTACAAAGACGGCCCCGGCCGTCTTTTACGACGTATCTCGCTGCGTAGAGTTCAAACGATCTGAACTCGACTACACGTATGCGGACAAAGTCGGTGAGATCGATTTTGTCGCGCGTGATTGAACGCGAGCGATCTATCGATCCTGATTCGATCCTTCATCGACTGATCGCCCACTCCGGCGCACGCATACGCATATATTTAGAGCTTAAAGTGCACGTATGAGACTTCGACCGACGAATGCCGACGACGAATACAAATAGATGTACATTTATAAATATATACATATACATACATACATACATACATGCATACGCGCGCGCGCGCGCGCGTGTGTGTGTGTGTGTGTGTGTGTGTGTGTACCGATATGGCGTTATTTGCCTCCTTTCTTCCTTTTCTTGTACGGTTACGCGGATTAGATATGTTAGTAGTAGACAGAGTGAAACTGATCCTAAAACGTTTAATATGATTAGGGGAAGCAACGTGAGAAAAAAAAAACAGAAAGGTCCGCCCGTCGTTATTATCGTATGACGACGATCGTTGTGATCAGGGTGATGGTGGCGGCGACGGCAGCGACGACGAGCTGGGTTGTCCATTGGACTGCGGCTTCCGCGGACCCTGAAACATTGATAACGAGTATACTTAGTTTCTTCCTCTCCTTCTTCTTCGCTCCCGTCGCTTTGACGAAAATCTCTTTCGTTGACGGAGACGCGAATGCCCGAGTTTGGACGAAACTCGGGAAAGAGATCCCGAATATATTTCTTCTTCTTCTTCTTCCGGCATTGAAAGATTAAAATCGCGTCACTCGTTAGTATTCCAAGAGCACCGAACGTCGAGCTCGGTTCGAGTTTGCTCCGAGTTTTTCCCTTTCCCGCGGGAAAACATACGTATCATATGTCGTGTATCGAAAGTATTTGGGAGCTTTGCGATATCGCGATCCCTCCCTATAGTCCCGGGGACTATAGGGAGGGAGGGGAGGAGGGGGAAGGAAGAAGAGTACAACCACGGACGACGCATTCACCGTTATATAGCCGGATAGGCTAAAGAGACTGAGGCAGAGGATTTGTAGCGAATTTGCCGTGTGCATCCCTTTAAAACGGCTAATTCGGCCGCCGAACTATATCCCGCGTTTCATTCATTTCCGCGTACCTCTCGAGCCTCGTCCTTGCTGTAATTTAGTCGGGATTTGAATACAGTGTGGCTGTAATTAATCAGTTTTTATTGCGGCACTCCGGGACGATAGCACTATCGCGGATTAAAGCATCGAGTAATTAGTTCCCGTTGTGATTAATGCCGAATGCACGCTCACGGGGATTCGTTTTAATACTTAGGGGCTTTAATCCTCATACTCCGAGGGGGCAAAGAGAGGGGGGAGGGGGAGCGGGGGAAGAAGAGCGGCGGGAATCGGGAAACCCTCCTCATTACTCGCGGCTGAGTTTTCCGATGTGCGCGCGCGCGCGCACGCGACGAATAACGGTGCGATTTTCGGAGTACCGCGCTCGACATGAAACAAATACAAATATTCACGCGAACGGCGATTCCGCTATTTGAATATTCGCCATCGAAAAGCATACCAAAAATATGCGTATTTACAATCGGTTTAGATCGGCGAAATGTGTTCCCGGCGTAAAGCGAAAATTACTTTAATACGGTCGCGCGCACACAACGCGTGCGCCTGTATACTGTACGGTTATACGCGTACACGCATATACATAAGCGAACACACGCGACTACGAAATTACCCGCCGATAACTTCCGGCTGGTGTAAGCTCGCAAAAAATTACGGGTCGCGCTCGCTCGCGCGCGAGCGAGCGGGAGGGGAAAAAGGAATAAACGAAATATACATCGTAATATTTTATAATATCGGCGTTCGCGGCGCGATTGCTCCCGGTCTCTCCGGTATATCAAACCCGACAGCGGATTAATCTAGCGAGCGCTAAGTATTATAATCGGAATTTATAACTCGGCGAGAGCGCGCGTGCGAGAGAGAGAGAGAGAGAGAGAGAGAGAGAGAGAGAGAGAGAATGAGAGAAAGAGCACGGCTGACCTAAGTGAATTTTTCATCGACCGCGCGCCGTCGCCGCCGCGCGATTACGGACCCGCATATTCCTTCGATACGTGCGTGTCGCCGCACCAACGTCAACGCGACCAGGCAGGCAGGCAGGCTAACCACACAGCGGCGAGAGGAGGGTCTAAATCCTGAGCGCGAGCACGATCGCGTTATGAAAACTTTGCGAGATATATGGAGTTACGCGGTGGCGAGCGAGAAGAAGTAGATAACTTCCCACCTGAACGTGGCGCTCTCGACGCGCCACTCAACTCGCTATCGCGAATTAACCGCTCGATACACTTGGGAGACTTCCTACGGTACGGACCGTAACGGTAAGTTCCGTTAACTTATCAATAACGTGCGTCGCTATACGACTGCGCGTCCGATTACTCGAGCTCGCATCATCACGCGCAACTTGCGCCAACGAGATGGAAGTTCAATTCCGCATTGGCGGGCTCGTCGATTACGGCCGGCACGTCGCGCAATTGCACCGCGCCGGAGCCGGCACTGTGCAACGGAGAAGGGCTTCTGCTCTAACTAGAGAGAGAGAGAGAGAGAGAGAGAGAGAGAGAGAGAGAGAGAGAGAGAGAGAGAGAGAGAGACAGAGAGAGAGCATCGAGGACGATTCAGGTCCATCGATAGTAATAGTCCAAACTGAAGAAAACATCCAAAAAGTAGTAGCTAAAATTCTTCGAAATGATCGTTGTTTGTCATCTGCCATCAGGCTCATCAAGGAGCTCATCCAGCCTTTCCTAGATCCATTGTTCATATCATTTTAACGGGAAATTTGGGAAAACGGAAGGTCTACGCGCTCGCTAATAGCATCGCATACTAATGCACAACTAATCGCATACTAATGCTAATAGCACTCATCATACTGAGCCTCAATGTGCTATTTTATGTCATCTGTCCGTCTTAGATTAATTAGATTATAAATGATAGTAAAAGAGCAAGAGCTTTTCAACTCCCCTTTTATCGACAAACGTGTCGAAATGTGACTTTTAAGTCGTGACAAGCTTCCGGTTGGCTCAAACGGAAAGTTGATGAAACCACAATACACTTTTATAGTACACAATATAATATAGTATTGTACATGAAACGTAATAAACATGACTATTCGTTGCGTAGGAAACTGTAAAAATAAAAGTAACAAAAGAATTCATATGACTTGAAAAACAACATCCCGAAAAACGAGCATTATTAAATTAAATTTCGGCATTTCGCCATTTCGCGATCAGTTTAAAAACTTTGAGCCAATCGCGAGCAGTCAGGACTCTAATCAGAGGGTCTTTAACATGCAGGCAGGTAGACGGGGTATAAGGAAGTAATGGGGTAATGAGAGATAATACTCGTGGCTTACCGTTCGTCAGGTCCTCGCGAGTGTGACTCTGCGCCCGGGTCTCGCGACTCTCCATCGCGGGCGTCTTCAGATCGCTCTCGTCACCTTCCACGCTCTCCTCGTTGCTCTGCAGATAGACCGTGGCTATTGTGGCCAAGCACTTTAGCTTCATGTCGCCCCGCCTGAAGTGCTTGTTCGCGACGCGGAACTCCAAACCGAGCGCCGCGGTCTCCAAACCGTTCTTGTCGACGTCGAGGTGAGGCCCTATCAGGTAGTCGGCGTCGGCCTGAAAATGTCGGCGACGGCGAGCCTCGTAAAAAGCCTTCTTAACGGAATCGAGACAATACGCACCGCGATAATGTGGAACGGTGTAAGATGTAGGAAGGAAGGAAGGAAGGAAGGAAGGAAGGAAGGAAGGAAGGAAGGAAGGAAGGAAGGAAGGAAGGAAGGAAGGAAGGAAGGAAGGAAGAAAGGAAGGCAGAAAGGAAGGCAGAAGGAGAGAAAGCAGGGAGGGAGGGAGGGAAGGAGAAAGAGGAGTAAAAGAGAGAAAGAGGAGTGAGAGAAAAGAGAGAGGGGGAGAGAGAGAGAGAGAGAGAGAGAGAGGGAGAGAGAGAGAGAGAGAGAGAGAGAGAGAGAGAGAGAGAGGGGGAATGGGTGAGAGGGTGCGAGCAATTAGGTAGATTTTTACTCGAGATGCAGATCCGCACACGCGCGACAGGGATTACGCATCGACGATCCCAATTTGGCGAGCGCGCACGAGAGGCGAAGAGAGCGAGGTTCTCTCTCACGAGCGATTCCTCGTAGAATGCGATTTGAAAATAATTGAGAGCGACGGATCGCCACCACCACCACCGCCGCCGCCGCCGCCGCCGCTACCGCCGCTTCCTGATCCCGAATGCAAATTTTTCGCCAAGCCAATTACGCGAGATTGGATTATAAGCACCGAAGCAAGATTCTAATTATTGCGCGATAACGATAATAACATTCATCAGCGGCGTTGTGAGAAGAGATAAAATTATTCTAAACTTAATCTGTAATTCGCTTAAACTTCGCATCGGGGTGGAAAATTTCGCCGGGATGTAACGCGGTAACGAATTTTTCAAAGGAGAGAAAGAGAGAGGGGTGGAGGGAATGAGAGAGAAAAGGATGGAAAGAGGAGGAGAGAAAGAGGAGACGTTCATGAACATTAACTGTATGCAAATAGCGTCGAGGATAAATGAAAAATACATAAACAACCGAGCCGATTTAATATCGACGCCGCTCGGTCGATTGACATTGGACGGTGCTATCGACCCTTCACCTGTAATAATTGGCGCGTTTCAAGAATATACGCACGATGTCATCGGAATATTCCTACATATATACATACATATATACATACATATACATACATATATATATATATATATATACTTCAGTAAAACAAATTTTAAATTAGAATATTACGGTGAAGTATTTTTCAAAATTAACGCGGATGGACACACACGTTGACGCGTCCGTGTCTTTGTAATGAAAACAGAGCGGAACGAAGCTCTGATTTATTTAGCAAATTGCGTATACCGCAACACTCCGAGTTGCGTTTTTTCTTTCGTCTCTTTTTTTCTTTTTCCCTCTCTCTCTCTCTCTCTCTCTCTCTCTCTCTCTCTCTCTCTCTCTCTCTCTCTCTCTCTCTCTCTCTCCCTCTCTCTCTCTCTCTCTCTCTCTCTCTCTCTCTCTCTCGCTCTCTCTCCCTCACACTCTTTCTCTCGTCTCGACACGAAAATACTACACATTTCATCGCGCTGCCGTGCTGGCGAAAAGTTTAGCGAAACGTGAGACAAAGGTTGCAATTATTTCGTCGACGGTTTAAGTGTCTCACTTACCGGCTCGTCGTTGATGAACCAGGACAACAGCGCAGCTGGTTTAGAAGGTGCCGACGTGCAGTCCATGCGAACGACATCGCCCACCTGATACTTGGAACGACCACCGGTTATCTGCGGTCCTTCGTTAGGTAGAACTGAAACGTTGCCATGACCCTTTCTAGTGCTATTGTCGTTCTCCCGGATTAGATCCCTCTTATCTTACCGCGCGCGCGCGCATTTACCGCACGTATTCATTTATCCGGTTTTACTTCCTCGCGAATTTTACTTGAAATAACCGTTGTCACGCTGTGACCACCCCCATTAGAAAAAGTTCGCCCTCTTTATTTACACTACTGTACCATTGTACCCCTTTTTTCCTATCGGATCTCGACTGCCGCGTCAATCGGTAACATTTATTTAAGCGCTATTACAGCGCGTTCAGGTAGACATAAATAAATCGATAAATAAATTCGAATGAAACGACTCTCTCTCTCTCTCTCTCTCTCTCTCTCTCATTCTTCGAAATAATACTCACCGACCACGGTCATGTCCGCGTGATCAGAGACGGTCTGAAAGGCGGGAGCCTCGGCCGACACCTCGCACCGATACCTTCCCGAGCTGGTGAGATTCACGTTGTTCAGGACGACCGAACTCTCGGTGGAATCGTGCGTCTGAATGCAAATTCGTGATTACAAGCCGCTGCCCGATCGAGCGTAAAGCGGAGCCTGCGCGCGCGTTCTCCGATTTCTCTCAGATTCGAACCGAAACCTCTTTGCCGTGAGAGAAGCGCGGCGCGCATCGCATCTTCAAGCTCTCTTGCCGCTCGAGCATCGCGCGCGGCTCCACTCGTCTCGTTAATTCCTAAAGATTTACGACGAGACCTACCTCGCTGGGACCGCTCTGATCGGAAACAAGAGATATTTTCTTCCGTCCGATAACGTTAATATTCCAACAAGCAGTCTCTATGTAATTTCCTCTTTTTCCCTCTTATTCGGTTTTACCTTCTTTCTTTCCGTTTTTTTCTTTTTTTTTCCTTTTTCTTTTTTTGGAATTCCTTCACCGAAGAATCAAGGGAATGAGGAGATTCTGGATTCTACCGGTAATTGCGGTGATTCGTGCTACTCGTCGAGACGACGACGCGACGCCGGTGTCCGTCACGACAGTAGTCCGTCGATCCTCCTCCTCCTCCTCGGATCGAATTTTGTTTGATTTTCCAAACCTCATATTGCCTTTTTTCACAGGAATGGCTAATTGTTGTGACGGTGACGGATTCTGCGTGCGACTACTTCAACGCGCGAGCAATGAGGAGTGTTTCGACGGAGGATTGATGGAGTCCTGTTTAATTCGCCAGATAATTAAGACAAATGCCCGAATTTAGCGTCTCGTCCACCTCGCGGAAGGATAATCGATCCCCCTAACCTAACCTCCCTCCTCGCTGCTGCTGCTGCTGCTGCTGCAGCTGCAGCTGCGAAAAGTCGCGATATTTCCACGTGGCGCGGCGAGGAGCAGATCCAGGCGGCAAGGTGCTAGGCGAGGTGCACTTACGTTCACGTTCACACCGGGCACCGGGAACGTCAGCACCACGGGCGCGTCTCTCGGCACATAGCGATAAAATTCGTGGCCGTCCTTGTACCACTTCACCGAGTACAATAGCTCTTTGTCCAGGTTGAAGTTGCACTGCATGCGCACCGTCTCATTCAGTACAACGTGCTCCGGTATCTGCAGGGATGTCATGCGTAGGGCGACGATGCCTGCAAAAGATTCCGGATCGCGGTGTTAGTCGCTGCGCTGTTCCGCTCCGCTCGACTCGCTGCGCTGCGCTGCGCTACACGGAAAATGGGCCCTGTGGAATTTCGTCTCCTCCCCTCCCCGTGCAGTTGGAGTTGCAGTTGCAGTTACAGCTGCATGCTGCATGTTGCATGGAAGGGGGAGGGAGGAGGTGGAGAAGGCGAAACTTCGTCGAATACACGCGACACTCAGAGAAGAAGCGTCACACGAGTTTCTCCCTCTAATTGCATATTCCGAGTTGCAATTCCGATCTTCAGCTACACACGCGACAGACGTCACGGTTAGGCGATTAGTTTGATGATAATGAGGCGCGTACTGCTAGTTATCTCGTCAGTGAGTCACGTGTGATTCATTGTAACAGCAGCGGTTTTTGAATTATACATATATGACTCATACCTTTGGTGCGGTGTGTCGGTGTGTGTGTGTGTGTGTGTGTGTGTGTGTGTGTGTGAGTGTGAGTGTGTGAGTGTGTGAACACGCTTATATAATGTTCGGAAAACACCGAAACGGTCTAATATTTTGGGAAGATGGTATTTTATAAAAAAAAAGACACAATTTTAGGCAAAAAAGAAACAAAATTGTAGACAAAAATTGTAGAATCTATTTAATGGAGATTTATCAGTTTCACCTTGGATGCAATTATCATCAAGGACGGCTCAAAGTCGTCTTGAATTTTTTTAATAAGACACTACTTTTCATCGCATATCGACATGGGGTGTCCGAGTGATGGGGCGAAGAATAAAAATAAGAAAATGGAGAAAATGAAGAAAAGGTGATGAAAATTTCAGTTTCATGTATACGTCAGATACTTGAGATACTCTTTGAAAGTTCTATATATTGGTATTTATGTAGTGCGGACTAATTTTTTAAATATGAAGATGATTTCAATCCCATTCTTATCTACCAATAATTTTGATTTCTACATCTTTCTCTAACTCTTTCTCTTCCTCCCTCCTCTTCCCTCTTCTCTCTCTCTCTCTCTCTCTCTCTCTCTCTCTCTCTCTCTCTCTCTCTCTCTCTCTCTCTCTCTCTGTCTCTCCCTGCCCGACTCGTGTGTATAGTACTCAGCTTCGGTCCGACTCCTAGGTTTCCTTCCTAAGAGTCACATGATGTGCAAAATCCGACCAAGCAGCTTCCTCGTGGTGCACATCGAGTAACATTAATGCTGGTCACCGACTAATTTTTATATTTAAAATCATTCTCGTATCTAAACGGTTGACCCATATTCAGCAAATATCAATATATAGTGCTTTCACTAAAGGTCTCAAGCAACTGACATACACATGCACTCTCAATATGTCCGAACCACCCGCACCTTGAAACAGCTGACGAAAAGTGGATCAAATTATTGTATTTCGAAAAGCTGCTAAAACGTAAACAAGCAAGAGAAGGTGATAAAAAAAATAGGGGATCCTATTTTTTAAAATTCAACGTAGTCTCAGCCTGATCCTGGCGACGCCACCCAAGATTAAAGTGATAAAATCATCAAATACATCCTTTTAAGATCTACAACTTTTGTTCAAAAATTTTTTCATAATTTTTCCTTCCTTTCTGAAATATCAGATGTACCGAAACTTTTCAAACACCCTGTATGTACGTGTTAGGTTTTCTTAATTAAATTCTGCGGATTTTCCGCTTAAAAATATTTATTCAAATGAAATGGTTACAACAATCTTTTCGATCAAGTTAATTGCCGCGAGCTTCTACCCTTCTTTTGCAATTTTTCAGGCAAGTGTTGGATCCCATTCATTTGGCATTTCCAGTCATTTGTCCAGTTTAGAGACAGAGAAATAAATGTCATATGTTCAACTATCGGAAATTCGTTCGTGCACGTTCGACGCGACCTATGAGGTGACGCGTTGATTATTCCACAGTTCAAAGTTAGAAATATATCCAACTGTCTGAACTTGTATTTAACACTTTTCGTGACGGCGTTGTTTTCGTGTCAAATCACGCATCGAATCTCTCTCTCTCTCTCTCTCTCTCTCTCTCTCTCTCTCTCTCTCTCTCTCTCTCTCTCTCTATTCAGCGTTCTTTAGCAAAACACTTTCATCGTAAATCTTTATATTTTTTATTAGTCGTTTTAAATAAAATGGAGATTGTCTTAATTAATTAATGAAGACGACTTCATTAATTAATGCTCCAGCATTTTTTCATCCAGACTATTCTTGTAGTTACAAATAGAAACGAAAAGAAAAGTCACCCGACATTAACCCGAGAAAAGCGCCATTAACAAAACACATTGGTACGTTTTGATATCTTCTTCATATTTCTACAAAGTTTGCCATATTAATTTCCTTAAAATTGTGTATATTTAAGGGAAAAGGCAAGTGTAGCGATATAGTGTAGCGATATAGTGTACCGAGATCCCATCTGATATAATGGATTGATCTGATATAACTGGATGTTTCTGTCGGATTCGCGATGCGTGTCGAGGAGCTGAAAAGCTTCTGACTTCAGACTATCGACTCGTACGAATAATTGATAACCGAGGATGACCGAGGATGAAACTGAAGTTCACGTGCATTTCACAATGGTGTTGAAACGAAGCGAATCAGTTTTCCCTAAGTGTTACTTTTTAAGACAATTTCACTACAAAGGTGATATTTGATAGTCCACGATATTAATATTGTAATGACATTACGTTTTATCTCTGTATTCTATGAGATCGATATATAAATTATATCAATATATAAATTATATCAATATAAAATTAATATAAAAATGTTCAGAGATTTCTATTGGAAAGCATATCTGTAACACGTGTAAGAATTAAAACTACGTAATTCATATCCTTCCTCGAGAGGGATAAATATATTATAATTATTAAAATTAATGCAGATTGCTCGATTAAGTCTTTTTTTTTAAATAAAAGAAATTTAATTTAAGAGAGATTTTCTGTATCAGCCGAACCTCCTCAACAATTGCGCTTTGCCTGAAAAGAAATATTATCTGACTAATTTCAAAGAAATGGAATGAACATCTGCGTATATTTGCGCCATCGTGAGAAATTCGAATTTTTAACCGCTCACGTCGGCGATTGACCAGCAATCGGGCGTGCAACCGACTACTTATCTGAATACGCATATTTTCTGAAAAAATAACTGGTTTTCATTCTTATTCACTTTTTATTCGCTTACTCACCTTTTATTCGCTTACAATAATTATGATGTTTTAACTGCAAAGTAATAATTTAATAATTAAAACGATGCATTTTATTTTAACGGAATTTTAAAATATCATCGCGTTTTTACAAACGTTATTATAATACGAACAATAAATTTTTTTCCAAAATATTACTGGCAAAAGTTTTTCCATAAATTTAAAGACCTTTCATTAACATTTGATTATATGTTTGATAATTAATTATTTTTATATAGTACACATTTTTTCGGATCTTTTCAGACGCTAGACTTTTTCACAAACAAATTAATTACGTGAATTTTGCGCAATCTGACATGAAATTCGTAATTAACGATACCTTTATGTATCTGACCTGATTGTATCTGACATTACATTTATTCAGACTTACACTGTGTAATTTTACTACCCTACATGGTAGCCATATTGAATCTGTCATTTTGAATTTCCGAGATCTGATCTCAGATTTGTCTGATTTCAGCGACCCAAAGAAAAAGAAATTTCGCAGATGCGAAATTTCACAGAAACCCTTCGGGTAAAATTTCAGAAAAATACGCCGCATAAAGTGTGAAATATCCATGATATTGTGTGTGCACGCGCACACGCGTAGTATGGCGTACACTTCCACATTTACCGAGCGCACTATCTCTCAAAAGTCGATCACTCAACCGAGTAGTTATGTTTACCGTAAACGCGCAGCCGCGATATCGCATCGCGCTGATCAAAGACTCGCACGCGATACGTCTCGGCTTGTTCGGATTTTCCACCGCGGATGGGTCGACCGTGAGAGAGCTCAGTAAAACGCACGCCGCAACGCTGGGAAGCCTCCCGCGCAAACCGCCCGCACACAACGCTGCGTTTTAATCGTATTACAAATATCCCGCGACTGTAATTACAGTCGAGTAACGAAGCAAGCGGTGCGATATGTATAACACACGTTTGTGAGAATTCTTTCCGCGAAAGGCGATGTCCTCTAATCACGTCCGGCGCGAAGCTTTCGGCCGCGAAACGAAGCGATCCGCCCGCGCCGTGCCGGTGGCGGTGCGCCGCTTCATAAACAACGCGCCCGCCGCGCCGCATTAATTAGTCTTTCCTTCTGGCCGAGCGAGCTGAAACGCCGGTGATTACACTAATCGTGTCAATATTTGTCGTATTTAAAATTCCGCCGGCGGTGTCTTAAATTAAGTCCGCTAATGAGTGGCTGGCAACGGGATGAGATTGTCGTTTATATTGCGCCCTTATCGCTGCTGTTCGCGCGCGCGTCGCGCACGCACACACGCACGCATTATCATCGATTCGATAAGCATCAGGGTCATGCAACACTATCGCACTCCGCCGCTGCGCCGCTGGAATCGCCCTGGTGTACGCGAGCCCGAACGCTCTCCGTGTTATTAGGGGTAATTAATTTTTTCTCCCACGTGTCGTACACGACACGTGGAACGATTGTTAGGAACTCGTAACGCGCGTAATGCGTGGGAGAGTGAGAGAGAGAGAGAGAGAGAGAGAGAGAGAGAGAGAGAGAGAGAGAGAGAGAGAGAGAGAGAGAGAGAGAGAGAGAGAGAGACCATGAGAACCGAGACCACGTGGTTGGTCTGTTTCGAGCAAGAACGGCATCATCACCATTACCAGCAAGGCAAAATATCTCAACGTGGCCGACTCGATATTTGTTGTTGAGTCAACTGGATGTTTGTTTTTGAGTTAACGCGCTATTGCGCGATACTCAAGTGACCCGCGCGCACGCGGGACGAGTTGTATCTCGAGTTTGGTTAGTGATACGAAAAAGGTTAGAGGTTAGGTAGGGGAAGAAAAGGTTAAACGGTACAGGATGGTCTTCTCTTTCCTATTTTTACTTTTTCCATAAATATTTTCGTTTGAATTCATGGATTTTATTTTTTTTCATAAATGCAACGATGCACCTAAAAAATGCAAATGTGCACGTGTTTTTTAAATGAAATTGTTATTATTCTTTTTTCTTATGTAGATCGGTTCCTCGGAACAGCATACGTATAAAAAAGTATGGGGGTACAAATGTAAAGCAAATCAACAGTTCGTGAGATATTTCAGATTTTTGACAAGTCCAGAGTTGGATTGGGTTAGATTTTCTTCGGGGTAAAACAAGGGAGGAGAAGGGGCGGAGCTTCTCCAATCATATGTTACTGTTTAACGTATTTTAATGTGTCGGAAAAATAGGAAAAATTGTTTGTGAAATTTCTTTGATTACTTGAACTGTTTAATAAACAATGAGCGACGGCTAAATCTCCT